GGGGGGGTCCAGCAAAGCCGCTGGACCCCCCCAGCAGACCAGGGGGACAGGAGCAAAGCCGCCCAGGTGGCGGGGGTCCCGCTGCCTGGGCGGCTTTGCTCCCGGGCAAACGAGCAAAGCCGCCCAGGCGGCGACTTTGCTCGGGTGTCCCTGGTCTGCTGGTGGGTCCAGCGGCTTTGCTGGACCCCCCCAGCAGACCAGGGAGACCGGGAGAAGCTTTTCTTGCCCCGGAGGACACAGGTGGCGACTCGCCGCCCGTGAGCTCCTTGGCAAGAAAAGCCCCGTTCGTAAGTGCGGATCCGACACAAGTCGGATCCGCGTAAGTCGGGGACTACCTGTACCTTAATTAAACAGAATTGGCCTATGCACAGATGGAAAGTGCTGATTAAGTTATTTAACTAATAGGTGTTAAACAACATTAAAATCTCTATCCGATACCTTCCTCTTGTTTAAATCTGTCTTTTATCTCTGAAGGGACCTAAATGCACAAGTAATAGCCACTGTGCAAAAACAATTGGAAGACAATTGAGTTTTTCAAAGAGACATTTAGGGTACAGGAGAAACTGTGTAAGAAAGATAGGAAGTATGGCAAGGGACCCTCCCTGCCTTAACCAGGAGATCTTGAATGATATAAAAATCAAAAAGGAGTCCCACAAAGTGGAAACAAGGTTAGATTACAAGGATGATTACAAACAAAACCACAAGTATGTAGGAGCAAAATTAGAAAGACGAAGGCACAAAACTAGCTGGAGATATACAGGATAACAAGAAAACAGTCTACAAATATTAAAAGCAATGGAAAGGCCAAGGAAGACCAGTCCCTCAATGAAGAGGGGAAAAATAATAATAGAAAATGTGGGCTTGGCAGAGGTACTTAATGACTTATTTGTTTTGATTTTTACCAAGAAGGATGGTGGTGATTAGAGACACAACCTAGAATCATAGAACACTAGAACTGGAAGGGACCTTGAGACATCTTCACGGATCATCCCCATTATCGAACCTGCTTTTAACTATCGCCAATGATGAAGATTCCACAATCTCTCTAAGCAATTTATTCCAGTTTTTAACTATCCTGACAGTTAAAAAGTTTCTAAGTGTCCCTCTTAAACCTCCCTTGTTGCAATTTAAGTCCATTGCTTCCTGTCCTATGCTCAGAGGCCAGGAAGAACAATTTTTCTCCCTCCTCCTTGTAACACCATTTTAAATGCTTGAAAACTGCTATCATGTCCCCTCTCCTGTCAGGGTGCTTAAGCACTGGAATAAATTGCCTAAGGAGGAGGTTGTGGAATCTTCATTAGAGAGATTTTTTTTTTAAGAGCAGGTTAGATAAACATCTGTCAGGGATGATCTTGGTGGTGCTTGGTTCTGCCATGAGTGCAGGGGACTAGTCTTGATCACCTGTCAAGGTCCTTTCAATTCCATTATTCTGTGATTTTTTTCTATGTAGTTAATTAAGATGCATTTTTTTCCCCTTGTGGTTTAAAGCGCATGAAGGTGCTGTTAGAGGGGTAGCAGTGGATGGATTAAACCAGTTGACAATCACAGCTGGAAGCGAAGGATTAATTAAATTCTGGAAGTTCAAAACCATGGACTTTATTTACTCTGCTAATCTCTCTTCTTCTCCAAGTGCAATGTTGCTTCACAGAGACAGGTGAGAATTTAAAACTATTTCAACTGTAGCTTTGGTGTTTTGTTATGTTCTTTACATCCAAGCCTCTGATACAATG